CCATGTCCCTCGTCATGCCCCCAGCCATGTCCCTCGTCATGCCCCCAGCCATGTCCCTCGTCATGTCCCCAGCCATGTTCCCACAGTCATGTTCCTCGTCTTGTCCCCAGCCATGTCCCTAGCATTGTCCTCAGCCATGTCCCAAGTCCCAAGCCACGCCCCTAGCCATGCCCCTCGCCATGTCCCTTATCAAGTCCCTCGCCACGTCATGTCCTTCGCCAAGCCAAGCACCACGTCAAGTCCCACAGTCCAGTCCGGTTCCACGCCATGTTCCACGCCTTGTGTTTGTTCCCTCTGTTCCTGATTTCCCCCCCCCCCACCCTCCCGTGGTCCTCGAGTGTGTTAGGGCCGTCTGGGAGCCGTCCCTTAAGGGGGGGGGCTCTGTCACGTCTGGTGTCTCGTCTCGTCTTGATTACCTATTGTGTACACCTGGGATTCCCTTCCCTCATGTGTTTAAATAGTCCTGTTTCCCCTTGTCTGGCGCGAGTGCGTTTTCGTCTCTTGTCCGTCTTGTCCTTGTCCGTCTAGTCTCTCGTCACCCCCACGCCAGGTTTGTTTTGCCATAGTCTTTTGTTTTTGTCATAGTCACAGTTTTGCCACAGTTTTGTCATTCTTTACTTTGTTACTTTGTCACAGTCATAGTTTTGCCACAGTCTTGTTTGCTATTGCTTTGATACTTTGATCACAGTTTCCCACAGCTTTGATTTGTACTTTGTCTGGACATTCACTCTGTTTTTGTACAATAAACCTTGTTTCCCCTTATCTCCGCACCTGAGTCCTCCGTCAACACCCACCTTCCTGACAGACGTACAGTTAAATTGTCTTCTACACTGATAGCTGCCACTACTTGCACACCAGTAGGAGAAAGGAGATTTTTTCACTCAGCATATCATTTTCTGGCCCAAATGAGACTGCTCAGTGATGCAATATCTCAGACAAAAATATTTCTCTCTGTGGGAGTAGGCGCCATGCATTTTTGTTTCTTTCATCCATAGCAAGGTAGAAACCCATCCACCCCTGCCCCTCTCCTTTTCATCAGTCTCAACCTGGTATCTCTATCTCTGGGCACTGAACAGTATTGCTTTCGAAGGATTAAAAATGCCTTGAATAAAAACAAGGGACTTCAGAGACTATTTAAGCAAGTATAGAGTCTGAAAAACTGAAATGCTAACATAAGCCATTATCCACAGCAAATAGTCTTTTCAAGGTGCAGAGCTTTAAGCATTAAAAATATTGACTACGACTCCTTTAGCCTAAACTCAGAACCTGTTTCTAAAACAGATGCAGTAACTTGCAGAACCAGGGTTAGAACTGCCGGTGTGACTTTGCATTTCATTGCTTACAAGTCTCCTTTCATGGGGAAACACATAGCTGGTGATTTAAAGCTCATGCAGACTATGAAAGGACAGAGTGTGATGGCAGACTAAGGTCTAAACAGTACAGTGATATTCTTTTGTATTTGATTTAATTTAATGATTTAATTTCATGTTTAATAACACTTAAATTCATAACTGTCTAATGGGAACAGATTCTTTTCTGACCACGGGGAATAGATTTAATCTAAGAATCATCATATTTCATGTATTCATCCATACAGGAAATCCAAGTATTGTGTGACAGCATTTATGATTAAATCTGCTTTAAACACGACACAACAGCTGCAGAAGCATGTGATTTAGTTTTCAGCACCACCATTATGTGTAAAATGGAAGAGATTGTGGGTCGGGTGCGTTGTGCCCTGGGCGGCGGCCGGAGTCGGGGACCTTGGCGTACCGATTCCCGGCTGCAGAAGCTGGCTCTGGGGACGTGGAACGTCACCTCTCTGGCAGGGAAGGACCCTGAGTTGGTGTGCGAGGCGGAGAGATTCCGGCTGGACGTAGTCAGTCTCGCCTCGACACACAGCTCTGGAACCAGCCTTCTCGAGAGGGGTTGGACGCTCTGCTACTCTGGAGTTGCCCCCGGTGAGAGGCGCCAAGCAGGAGTGGGCATACTCATTGCCCCCCATCTCGGTGCCTGTACGTTGGGGTTTACCCCAGTTAACGAGAGGGTAGCATCCCTTCGCCTTTGGGTGGGGGGATGGGTCCTGACTGTCGTTTGTTAGACTTAGAGACTTAGACTTAAACAGTACTTTATTGATGCCTTGGGAAGTCTCCCTCAGGAAATTAAGGTTACTAGCAGCTTAAAGGGCAAAAAGTATTAAGTTATTAAGTTAAAATTAAATTAAGCAAAAAATAAATAAATAAATAAATAAAAATACAAAAAATACAGATTAAGTACAGTGTATGTAATATCTCTTCCCCTTGTCCTGTGTCACCTCCTCGCCCCCAGTGAGGCGTTGTACAGTCTGATGGCGTGGGGGACAAAAGAGTTCTTAAGTCTATTGGTCCGGCACTTGGGAAGCAGCAGTCTGTCACTGAACAGGCTCCTCTGGCTGCTGATGACGGTGTGCAGAGGGTGGCTGCTGTCGTCCATGATGTCCATCAGTTTGTTCAGTGTCCTGGCCTCTGCCACCGTCACCAGAGAGTCCAGCTTCATGCCGAACACGGAGCCGGCCCGCCTGATCAGTTTGTCCAGTCTGGACGTGTCCTTCTTGGATGTGCTACCTCCCCAGCACACCACAGTGTAGAAGAGGACTCTGGCTATCACAGACTGGTAGAACATCCACAGCAGTTTGCGGCAGATGTTAAAGGACCGCAGTCTCCTGAGGAAGTACATCCTGCTTTGTACCTTCCTGTACAGGTTGCTGGTGTGTTGTGACCAGTCCAGTTTGCTGTCCAACCACACCCCGAGGTACTTGTAGGAGTCCACGCCCTCCACCTCAGTACCCTCTAGTACGACTGGTCTCTGCTTTGGTCTGGACCTCCCAAAGTCTATAACCAGCTCCTTTGTCTTAGAGGTGTTGAGCTCCAGGTGGTTTGTGTGGCACCAAAGGGCAAAGTCCCCCACCAGATGTCGATACTCTTCCTCTCTGTCATCCCTGATGCATCTGACTATGGCTGTGTCATCAGCATACTTTTGTATGTGACACAGCTCTGAGTTGTAGTGGAAGTCAGAGGAGTACAGGGTGAAGAGAAGAGGGGCCAGCACTGTGCCCTGGGGGGCTCCTGTGCTGCTGACCACAGTGTCAGACATGGTGTCCTTCAGCCTGACATACTGCGGCCTGTTGGTGAGGTAACTGTGGATCCAGGTGACCAGGTGCGGGTCCACTCCCATGCTGTGTAGTTTGTCCTGGAGCAGAAGGGGCTGGATTGTATTAAAGGCACTGGAGAAGTCCAAGAAAAGGATCCTCACTGTGCCACTGCCCTTATCCAGGTGGGAGTGGGCCCGGTGCAGCAGGCAGAGAATGGCATCCTCCACACCGACATCTGGCTGGTAGGCGAATTGCAGGTGGTCTTGAGCATGTTGCACCTGAGGTCTAAGGAGGCTGAGGAAGAGCCGCTCCAACGTCTTCATCAGGTGTGAAGTGAGACCACGGGCCGGAAGTCATTCAGCTCGCTGGGCCTGTTCTTCTTGGGCACTGGAACGATGTAGGATGTCTTCCAGAGGGTGGGCACTTCCCTTAGCTGCAGGCTGAGGTTGAAAATCCGCTGTAATGGCTCTCCCAGTTCAGCAGCGCAGGTCTTCAGGAGTCTTGGACACACCTGGTCCGGCCCTGCTGCTTTCCTGGGCTTGAGCTTCCTCAGCTGTTCTCTGACCTGGTCTGTGGTGATGTGGGGCGGAGATTGTGCTGAGGTGTGTGGGGGGGTTGTCAGTGTTGTGTTGTCTGGGGCTCGCCACCACACACCTCGGTGTGTGGTGGGGAGGAGAGGTGGCTGCAGTAAGAGAAGGGGTTTGGGGGGCATGGGCTGTTTGAACTTGTTGAAGAAGATATTCAGTTTGTTTGCCCTCTCCATTGTTCCCCCAACAGCTCTGGTTTTTGTGTTGAGACCAGTGATGGTCCTCACACCTTCCCAGACCTCCCTCATGTTGTTCTCTCTCAGCTTCTGCTCCACCTTTCTCCTGTAGTTGTCTTTTGCTTCCCTCACACACTGCTTCACCTTCTGCTGAGCTGCCTTCATGGTCTCCCTGTCTCCTCTTCTGAAGGCAGCCTTCTTCTTGTTAAGGACAGTTTTGACTTCCCGCGTTACCCATGGCTTCTTATTAGGATAACAGCGGACTGTCTTAACAGGGGAGACCACATCTGCGCAGAAGTTCAGATAGTCCGTCAGGCAGTGTGTCAGCCCATCTATGTCCTCGCCATGCGGGTTGAACAGTACATCCATTCAGTGGTGTTAAAACAGTTTCTCAGAGCACTCTCCATCTCAGGGGACCATTTCCTGCTAGAGCGAGTTGTTGTAGGCTGCTTTTGGACCAGGGGGGTGTACAGTGGCTGTAGGTGGACTAGGTTATGATCTGACTTCCCTAGCGGCAGTACAGAGTACCCAACCTTTTTGGAGTCCTTAGAGGGGGTACTGGAGGGTGCCCCCTCTGGGGACTCCCTCGTTTTGCTGGGGGACTTCAACGCCCACGTGGGCAATGACAGTGAGATCTGGAGGGGCGTGGTTGGGAGGAATGGTCCCCCCAGCTTGAACCCGAGTGGTGTTCTGTTTTTGGACTTCTGTGCTCGGCACGGATTGTCCATAACGAACACCATGTTCAAGCATAAGAGTGTCCATACGTGCACCTGGCACCAGGACACTCTAGGCCGCTCAATGATCGACTTTGTTGTCATTTCAGCTGATCTGTGGCCGCATTTTTTGGACACTCGGGTCAAGAGGGGGGCGGAGCTTTCCACTGACCACTACCTGGTGGTGAGTTGGCTCAGATGGTGGGGGAGGATGCCGGTGAGACCCGGGAGGCCCAAACGTATTGTGAGGGTCTGCTGGGAGCGCCTGGCGGAGTCCCCTGTTAGGCAGAGCTTTAACTCCCACCTCCGGGAGAGCTTCGAGCACGTTCCGGGGGAGGCGGGGGACATTTAGTCCGAGTGGGCCATGTTCCGCGCTTCCATTAATGACGCGGCCTCCCGGAGCTGCGGTCGCTGGGCTGTCGGTGCCTGTCGTGGCGGCAACCCTCGAACCCGCTGGTGGACACCGGTGGTGAGGGATGCCGTGAAGCTGAAGAAAGAGTCCTATTGGGCCTTTTTGGCTGTGGTACTCCAGAGGCAGCCGATGGGTTTCGCAGTCCAAGCGACGGGTGGTCGCTGAGGCAAAAACCCGGGCGTGGGAGGAGTTTGGGGAGGCCATAGAAAAAGACTTCCGTATGGCCTCGAGGCGATTCTGTTCCACCATCCGGCGTCTTAGAGGGGGGAAGCAGTGCCCCACCAACACTGTTTACCTCAACTCGTGACGTTGTGGGTCGGTGGGCGGAGTACTTCGAGGACCTCCTCAATCCCACTGGCGCGTCCTCCATTGGAGGGGTAGAGCCTGGGGATCCGGAGTTGGGATCTATAATCCCCGGGGCTGAAGTCACCGAGGTAGTCAAAAAGCTCTGTGGTGGCAAGGCTCCGGGGGTGGATGAGATTCGGCCAGAGTTCCTCAAGGCTTTTGATGTTGTGGGGCTGCGTTGGCTAACGCGACTCTGCAACATCGTGTGGACATCAGGGGCAGTTCCGCTGGATTGGCAGACTGGGGTGATGGTCCCCCTATTTAAAAAGGGGGACCGAAGGGTGTGTTCCAACAACAGGGGGATCACACTCTTAAGCCTCCCTGGGAAGGTCTATTCAGAGGTTCTGGAGAGGAGGGTGCGTCGGATAGTCGAGCCTCGGATTGAGGAGGAACAGTGTGGTTTTCATCCGGGCCGTGGAACCCTGCACCAGCTCTATACCGTCAGCGGGGTCCTGGAGGGTGCATGGGAGTTTGCTCAACCAGTCCACGTGTGTTTTGTGGACTTGGAGAAGGCGTTCGACCGTGTCCCTCGGGGTATTCTGTGGGGGGTGCTCCGGGAGTATGGGGTACCTGGCCCTTTGTTACGGGCTGTTCGGTCCCTGTACGAACGGAGTCAGAGTTTGGTTCGCATTGCCGGTAGTAAGTTGGACCCATTTCCGGTGGGAGTTGGACTCCGCCAAGGTTGCCCTATGTCTCCGGTCCTGTTCATAACTTTTATGGACAGGATTTCTAGGCGCAGCCGAGGTGTTGAGGGTGTCAGTCTCGGTGGCCTTAGGATCGCATCTCTGCTTTTTGCAGATGATGTGGTCCTGTTGGCTTCATCAAGTCGGGACCTACAGCTCTCGCTGGAGTGGTTCGCAGCCGAGTGCGAAGCAGCTGGGATGAGGATCAGTGCCTCCAAGTCCGAGACCATGGTCTCTCACCGGAAAAGGGTAGAGTGCCTTCTCCGGGTCGGAGCGTACGTCCTTCCCCAAGTGGAGGAGTTTAAGTATCTCGGGGTCTTGTTCGCGAATGGGGGTAGGGAATGGGAGATCGATAGGCGGATCGGTGCAGCGTCTGCAGTAATGCGGACGCGGTACCGGTCTGTCGTGATGAAGAGAGAGCTGAGCCTAAAGGCGAAGCTCTCAATTTATCGGTCGATTTACGTTCCCACCCTCGTCTATGGCCACGAACTTTGGGTAGTGACCGAAAGAACAAGATTGCGGATACAAGCGGCCGAAATGAGTTTCCTCCGCAGGGTGGCTGGGCTCTCCCCTAGAGATAGGGTGAGAAGCTCGGCCACCCGGGACGGGCTCAGAGTAGAGCTGCTGCTCCTCCACGTGGAGAGGAGCCAGTTGAGGTGGCTCGGGCATCTGATCAGGATGCCTTCTGGTCGCCTCCCTGGGGAGGTGTTCCGGGCTCGTCCCACTGGCAGAAAGCCCAGAGGAAGACCCAGGACACGCTGGAGGGACTATGTGTCCCGGCTGGCCTAGGAACGCCTCGGGATCACCCCGGAGGAGCTGGCGGAAGTGGCTGGGGAGAGGGAAGTCTGGATTTCCCTGCTTCGGCTGTTGCCCCTGCGACCTGACCCAGGATAAGCGGAGGATAATGGATGGATGGATGGATGGATGGATGGATGGATGGATGGATGGAAGAAATTGTATGTTGAGTGAAAACTAGAGTGTACATTTGTCTTTGCATTTTGCATTCAATAATTTTTAGAATTGAAACCATGAACGTTTCTTTGCAAGCAGAGAAATCAAAACAAGCATATGCTGTATGCAACACATCTTGATCAAGCAAAGTAGAGTATTGCCTCATCAGCCCATAAGCATTCATGACACATCATAATGTCACCAACAATTTGTTGCACTTGTTATGTAGCATGTACTTGTTCCCAAACACTTGTACATTTATACCTTGAAACAACAACAAAGCTTCTCACATGACTTGTTTGTAGAGATACATTGGCTGACTTTTTCTATTTTCTTAGGAAACTGTCTTCACCTTCTTTCACAATGGAGAGTAAGAGCTGACGGTGCACTTCTCCCACAGTTGGACTATATTTACCCATAAAACCAGTTAACATTTAGACATGTATTTATGTATAAATGTATATGATGGTATGATGCAGGGACATTTATTACTGTTTCCTTCATACGATCTATCTCAATTTAAGAAGAGGAGTTTTTATTATTATATATATATATATAGTAGTAACCGAGTGTATAGGTGTAGATCCATTTGATCCACACGGAGGCAGGGAACCTTTTTTACTGTTAGCTGAATCTTGTGTAATATTTTCTAAAACATATTTTTTTTAAATGCTGTGCCACAAGGTATTGCATGTGGGATGTACTTGATTTGGTAGAACTAGACGTTTTTCACATTATCTGCATTCTCCAAATAAAGATTTTCTTACAGTGAGATGCAGCCGTCAATCATTTACGAAACAGTCAGAAGCTAATTGTATGTTCAGATCACCTTTTAGAGTACCATTGACGTTTCTGTCATCAACAGTCTATGATGCATTTTGAGATTATATTTGATTAAAAACTTTTCTAGTGTTTATTCTCTCATATACTATTTTCAACATTATTGCATAGAACTGTTAGTTTACAGGACAATTAATTTATTTACTTCACAGTTATTAATGTTATTTAGTTATGTAGAAGAGCACAATAGGTAGTGTGATTGTGAGATCTGTATTTCTGGATGTTTATAGGTGGAGAAGTGTCAAAGCCACGGTTCACTCAATATTTCCGGGGAAGCCTATCTGGACTGACCATCCGACCAGGGAAGATTGAGAGCCAGAAAGTAATTTCCTGTCTGCAGGCGTGCAAAGTAGGGATGGGACGGTTTCTGAAAACCGTCTGAACCGTTCGGTTCGACTGTCTCGGTTCGGTTCGCGTGTGTACCGCACGGTTCATGCACTGCTCCTTTTTCTCAGGGGGGATCATCTACACTCCAGAGCAGAAGGGGGCACTACTGTGCCCAAAGCCAACCACCAGTAGGAAACAAGAAGAAGAAGCGAAGCAGCGTAGCCGATAAAAATCAGACCCAGCAGCAGTTTCTAGGTCTGCTGTACAGGACCACTTTGCATTTAGAGGGAAGCACATGTTGGAATTAGCACTGTTTCCTCGCTTGCAATGCCAGAATCTCGCCTACTTTTAACCTAAGACTGTCACAATAATGTATCAAATGTCAGACTGCTTTTTTCTTGCAGTTTTAACTAGGGAAGGGGATCGAAACCCGGTTCTATCAATGACCCGGTTCCACTTTTTTCAAAACCCAAAAATCAATAACGTTTGGGCTTATCGATACCACTATCGAGTCTGGTCGTTTTTTTATTATTACAATAGTAATTGTGAAATCTGTGTTGTAATCGGCAGCATACAAGCTAGTTAGCTTGAAAAGTAAATAAAGTTTCAGACGTGCTGCGTGATGATGTGTTCAGGTTGGCTCAGTAAAACGACAATTAGGTTATCATGATGCGTTCAAGTGTAACGTAAAGAAAAGGGAAATTAAGTTTTTGGCGAGAAACATGAGTAATACAGTTGTATATTGCTCTAATTATTTTAGAATATATAATTAAACTACTGAGGCCAACATTTATTAAAAATTACATTTAATTTAAAATACAATTATTTATTTGTTAAATATTGTTGCATCGTTTTTCCACCAAATAACAGAAAATGATCAATAGTGGTATCGATAAAGACTCGGATCGATAAGGAGTATCGATAAAAGTATCGATATCAATAAATATTAACGATCCCCATCCCTAGTTTTAACCTGACTATACAAGACATAATAGATTTTCCTAACAATCACCATATACCGAACCGAACCGAAAACCGTGACCACGAAACCGTGAAACGAACCGAACCGTGGATTTTGTGAACCGTCCCACCCCTAGTGCAAAGAGGGACTGGACATTAATTCCCTTGAGAGCCTGGATAAAAGTATAAAGGTACATTTACACACACAAACTCAAAGGACACACTGAAAAATCACAGAGAATAAAATGAGAACATTATGGGGATGTTTATTATTAAATATATTCTTTTTTTTACTATAACAAATTACATTGAGTAACCATATTGTTGCCATTACAAACTATCAATTGACATATTCAAAATCTAAGGCCATAAAAGCATCAGGGTGAGGTCACCTAACAATCTCTATTGAGGCTTTTAAACGTTCACAGTTTTTAATTTTAATATGAGTTGGTAAAAAGAAATAAATGAAAGAAAAAACCACTTCATATGATGGAGATAGTGCTTGCTTGTTATATAACGACATGTTTTGGGCGTATTGCAGAGAGTAGCAATCAAATTTCCCACAGTGTTCAAAGCTAACTTCTGTAACATTTCTTTAATGCATCGTATTCTTTTGAAGGCTTAAAAGTAATATAACACATTTATAATTTGCAGTAAAGCATTGGCATTATCTGAATTGTAGTAGCAAATAGAAAATAGGAAGCTGGTTCTGTGATCGGACGGCACCGTTTGGAATATCTCAGAACTTATTATGGAAATAAGAATCCTTTACAAGCTTCTCAACATGAAAGACACTGCTGCACACATACAAGAATTTACACACGGTCATTTCTCCCCAAAACAATAACTCTACATACATTTATAATAATAAGTTCTGAAAAATATAATTGTCCATCCTGCAAAATTGTTTAACATCCTTGATTTGAATCCACTAAGGACATGTATATTCACCTGTAAAATTACATTGCACATGCAACATTTTGGGAAGCAATATGTTAGTACCCAAAACTACTCAAGATAACAATTAACAGAAACTAAACTAAGGGAAATTGTTTTCTGCAGCAATTTAGAATGAGGTATATCTGTTCATACACCATACTATGTGCAACAACTGTATTAAAGATCCTTGAATAGATTTAAAATATTCCATGGAGCTCATGTTTCATGGTCCGCACATCCAGCAAGAATCTCCAGGTGCTGGCAGACATAAGAATGATATCAGTGATAATTTCTCAGCTCTGCACATGTAGATTTCACTTCTTTTTTTTTTATTCAGTTCCTGCCACAATAAACTAGAGCTGGTCATTTAAAAGCATCCCAAGTATAAAATCAACACATATTCTTTGCCATGTGTATATACATACACATACACAAAAACAGATTTTAATATCAGTTGACGGAAAATTTGAAAAAAAAAAAAATGTAATCGCCACTGTAAAACAACATGCTGGTGTCAGTGAAACTCTTCTGCTGCCTTGTTCTGCCCCCTAAAAGGCCTCGTTTCACCGGCTTGACTAATCCATCTCCCCGTGCTGTGGAAGACAGAGGCAGACAAGATAAATGGTGGGTTTGTGTAAACCCAAAACTGGCCCCCCTCAACCACAGCCCAACAGCCTCTTTGACTGGCTTTTAGTTTTCCCTGTTCTTGCTCTCTTCTTCAGTGGCTCCAGTTCATAGGGCTTCTTGTGCTGTGATGCAGTAAAAAGATGCTTGCAAACCTTTGATATGACAAGGTGGGTTGAGGACAGGGGAGTTTGAGAAAAGAGAAGCGCAATGTCTCCAAGGCTACTATATCTCAGAGAGCCATTTTATTTCCCTCTCGGTCACACATTCATGTGATTCCAATAAGGCTGCAGGAGGCTTAAGAACAGTGTTTAGCCAAGCAAGTGGAGGGCTGACAACACAATCAGCTGAGAATAAGAGGTAGGGAGTGAAAAATATCTGGAGCTAGAGGCAAGTGCACAATAAGTATAGTGACAATAAGCAGAAAATGAGAGAAGACAGTAAGTAAAGCAAAGTTGTGAATAGGAAAATGACAGGGGAGAATGATGGCATTTAGAACACCCTGCAATGGCAGAAGGCCTTGCAGTGTTGAAGTCACGTTGCTGCTGACATCTAGTTTGAGGAAATGGGCAACACTCATACTTGCAAGTACACGTTATTCTGTCTAAAGAAAAGTGGCTGGAAATGATCTGCATTAACCATCTCAGGAGAACACAGGTGTGTACTGGCTTGAAGCAAATCAGTAGGAACCACCCCGTTTTTCTGTGTTTTAAGGGTATGTAAGATATGCCTGTTATCGTCATGACAATATTATATATCAGCATCATTCCTAACTAAAGGCTATATCTTTCTTTCAGTGAAACAATGCCTGTTCATAAAAAAATACAATTGCCTTAGAAAAAGTGATCCATCACAGTGAACACCAAGTCAATTTGTCTCAGTCAAAGGGAGATGCTATTGCAATGCACCATCAGTATGAAGCTCTCATGGATCTGAACCAAATCACTTTCAATTTCTTGCACACATGGACTTTAAGTGTGGTAAAAAAAAAATGCTGATACTTAAACATTTACAAGATCCTCATAGAAAGTATTTGTATTGGCCTTAATTTGGCTGAAAAGATCCAAAATTAAGAATAAAGTTTGTGGTATGTTGTTTTAATATACGCGGAGAAAGTTCATTTGAACTGCACTTAGTGAAAAAGTTAGCCTTTTTGCTGTTTAAAATCTACAGTCATGGCCAAAAGTATTGAGAATGACACAAATATTATATTTTCACATGATCTGCTGCCCTCTGGTTTTCAGTGTGTATGTCAGATGTTGTCATCACATACAGAAATACAATTGCAATCATATTATGAGTAACAAAAAGCTTTTTTTGACAGTTAGAATGAGTTAATGCAGCAAGTCAATATTTGCAGTGTTGACCCCTCTTATTCAGGACCTCTGCAATTCTCCCAGGCATGCTCTCAATCAACTTCTGGACCAAATCCTGACTGATAGCAGTCCATTCTTGCACAATCAATGCTTGAATTTTGTCAGAATACCTTGGTTTTCGTTTTTCCACCCTTCTCTAAATGATTGACCACAAGTTTTCAATGGGATTAAAATCAGAGGAGTTTCCAGGCCATGGACCCAAAATCTCGACGTTTTGTTCCCTGAGCTAGTTAGATATCACATTTGCTTTATGCAAGGTTCTCCATCATGCTGGAAAAGGCATTGTTTATCACCAAACTGCTCTTGGATGGTTGGGAGAAGTTGCTCTCGGAGGACATTCTGGTACCATTCTTTATTCATGGCTGTGTTTTCAGGTAAGACTGTGAGAGAGCCGACTCCCTTGGCTGAGAAGCAACCCCACACATGAATGGTTTCAGGATGCTTTACAGTTGGCATGAGACAAGACTGGTGGTAGCGCTCATCTCATCTTCTCCGAACAAGCCGTTTTCCAGATGTCCCAAACAATCGGAAAGGCGATTCATCAGAGAGAATGACTTTACCCCAGTCCTCAGCAGTGCACTCCCTGTACCTTTTGCAGAATATCAGTCTGTCCCTGATGTTTTTCCAGGAGAGATGTGGCTTCTTTGCTGCCCTTCTTGAGACCAGGCCTTGTTCCAAGAGTCTCCACCTCAAAATGCGTGCAGATGCACTCACACCTGCCTGCTGCCATTCCTGAGCAAGCTCTGCACTGCTGGTAGCCCGATCCCGCAGATGAAACACTTTTAAGAGATGGTCCTGGCGCTTGCTGGTCTTTCTTGGGCGCCCTGGAGCCTTTTTGGCAACAATGACATTGAAATGTGTTTTGGGGGATAAAGTTCATTTTCTAGGCAAAAAATGACTTTGCAATTAATTGCTGTTACGCTGATCACTCTTTACAACATTCTGGATTATATGCAAATTGCTGTTATAAAAATTGAAGCAGTAGACTTTGTAAGTATTATCATTTGAATCATTATCAAAACTTTTGGCCATGACTGTACTTTGCTTTTTTATGATAGTAGGCTCAGGTTGAGTTTCACTTGGAATTTAAAACTTCCAATTACTGGCTATCTATCTACACTTGTCAAAAGAGTCACTGGCCGGAAGCTTTGTGAACAGGGATTTTACCCTCCAGATTACTATGCTAGAATATTGTAAGTTTAAAAGATGCAGGTATGCGTTTGTTTTACTCTGGGTCTTTTTCTTCTTCCTATTAAATACTCTTATAAACCAGACACATTTTTTGTCAAACAAAAAAATCTTTAGCATAAAACACTTCACCTTGCTATCTGGTCAAAGTTTAGCACCACCCAGTGTTCTGAAAAAGTTACCTCGCATCCCTTCTCCATTCTTTTTCACCTGAGACATCTTGGTTTAGTGTCCTTGGCATGGTGTCTTTAGAAACATTGAGGACAATGGATTAGTGCAGGACAAAAAAAACTTTGAATATCATCTGCAGAAGGAAAAATTAGTGAGCATGATTGCTTCACTCTTTGAACTAAACATACTGCCATGTGGTAGAAGGTATGAAAAATCTATGGATAGATGGTTGGTTGGTTGGTTGGATGGATGGATGGATGGAAGGAAGGAAGGAAGGAAGGAAGGAAGGAAGGAAGGAAGGAGACCCAGACACAAAAGGGTTAGGCATGTGTATTGACCAGTTCAGGGTCATATTTAAACCCTGTCTCATAAACATGCTTTGAATGTTGACTTTGTACTTGTTATCAATTGTGACTTTAGTTCAGTTTGGGAGTAACTACACATGCTTTTGTCCTCTCTTCCTGATCCGTTTCTTATAGATATTTGTGTTTCATAGTACTCATAAACCCTGGCTCCCTTTTTTTAATTCAAGTCTCCAATACTACTTCAGAGCTTTTCTTACTATAAACCTTGGGGTAAAAAACAAAGGGATTATGCAAATTGAAACAACTACAGTTACTAGATCAAGTGAAAATTTAAAAAAATATATATATACATATTGGAGGAAAAAAATACTATTGACACTTCACAGCTACAGCTATTGGCAGCGAGTGGCAAAGAGGAGGACAGGACTAATTTGCATGGGAAATCCTTAAGTCGAAATCAAGCAAGGGTAGAATTACATATAACCCTTTTGAAGGCATGGTGAGATTCTCTATAAAAGATGTCTAAATATATAATATCAATGAACAGATTAGATTTCAGGTGCTTAATCAGTGCATAAAAATTAAAAAAAATATTACCAAGATGAAAGGCTGCATCAACAACAGGATCAATTGCGTTTTGATTTTTGTTGATTTAATTGTCAAGAATAAATCACATTCCAGACACCACAATTACCGGCCTAATAAAGTTATTACTGGACTCTCCTGTACAAGCTGGCCACAGATACCATTCCGATTGATTAATGCTTGATTAAAGGATTAGTTGTGTAAAATGTTTGGAAGTATCTACACCAAAACAAATTTATACACATTGTAGTGTCAGTGCTTGTGCAAACATTGTGTTTAAAACTGCTGTTACAACTATACTATTGGTTCTTGTTGATATATCTTACACTTTGATAATGTTGCCATTCAGCCAATCATTGGCCAGAATTTACAAAGGCAAATAAACATAGAAGCTTTTTCCCCCCTTAGGCAGTGTGTGCATTGATTGTTTCCAAAAAGAGACAATCTAGCTATAACATCACAATTAGAACTGTATGTGTCAGTTCTTCATCAATCTGTTGTTTTCTTTTAATAGTTCCACTTTAACCCAGCTCAATCCATCCTGGTAATGGAGGGAGAGGACTTGGACAGCATGAACGCTGCCATGAGAAAAGTTTCCTATATAAACTCCCGCCAGTTTCCCACACCAGGCATAAGGCGCCTGCAGATTTCGACTACTGTTCAGTAAGTATACCACTTCAGTTATTTTTTTCTTTTCTGTCTCTAGCCTCTGTCTGCATCTTAGTCTTTTATTTCTTTAACATTGTCTCTGGTTCTCTGTGCTTCCTCTCTCAGATGCGTTATTTCACCTTAACTTAACTACGCCTTAACTAGTACGTTTTACAACCAAGTAGTAGACAGCCCTGATGCAATAATTCTTCTTTCTTTCAGTAATATCTGTGTCTCTCTTTCCTCCACTGTCACTTCACCTTCCCCTGACACGCCACATTCAATTTACTGTTGCCACCGGGAGCAACTTTTTTACATTTTCGTGTTATGCATTAATAATTCTCGCCCTGTTTGGCCAGAGGAGGCAGGGAAATAAAGATGATAAAACAGTAAGTAAGTTTGTTTGTGTGAGGAGGCTGGCTGGTAAAACAGATTCCTTGGTGAGTTTTCATTAAAATTCATGATTGTCTTTGGGCACATTTGTGTGAATGTTAGTGTGTTGTTGCGGGTGATTAGCCATTGAAGCCGATTATCATGGTATAAATTATACATACGAAACCTAAGCTTGCATCAGTGGTAAATGTTGATATAAATGAAGTTTTTTCTTACCAGTCTTACCAGACTGGTAGTTTCCATGGTGCACATGCCTGTGTAAGTTTAAAATATAATTTATAGTAGATATGTGAACATTATGTACAAAGCACCCACTTAAGTAGAGACTCTGTGACAAGGTGTGCTAAGATATCAAATGAGACTCTAGCAAAAAGCATCTCTACAACCACATTAGTTGCTCTGAGAGCCTGAATCCTGGCCTGCTGCCATAACAAAGTAGCAACTGTTGGGGGCTAATCCCAATCCCAAAACTAATCTGTTGGGGGATGTGCTGATTAACAAATAAACAGAAATGCAAAATAAATCCTGTCAAGTATGTGGGGTATTTTTGTTTTTTGCTGACACTTGACAACCACAATTACAGGAGACATCAAGAAAAAACAATTAAGAGAGCAGCGCTAATTCTATTCTACTCTTTGTTTCCTAATGGTTTCATGCAACCATTGGCTCCTAATTGGCAAGTTGGAGCTCAGCATACTCATACTAAGGCTGTGAAAAGATGCAGTGAAGAGTGGTCATGAGCAAAATTATCACAGGGTTTAAGAAAAGAGACAGAAGGAATTCAGGAGGATTTTGGAAACTACGATCATGCAAAGATCTTGCAAGTATGCGTCACTGAATAAATGTTCTGTTAAAAACAAACTTTGGATACTTATTCTAACACAGTTTGTTAAACATGTTCCTACAGGATTTTCTCTTATATATGTACGTAAATGACAGTATTATGAAATTTACTAAAAAAAGAAAGGACGTAAGCTTATTTCACACCATTTAGACAATTCTAGGTTATACGTGGTCTGCTATCCAAGTAATTCCAGATAGTTTCATTCCGTCAGATAGCTGGAAAGTCCCTTGGAAAGAGAAACTATTGAAGTGGGACCAAAGTTTAAACCCTAAGCAAAAATCATGATGTTTTTTTTCATATTTGAACCAAATCATGTACTGGGAACTTTTCAAAATCATTAAAAATAGGGATGATATATAGAATATGTTGTTAAAATATCTTTCTCTCTCATACCTTTTTAATAAACTGCAAAACCAATGCCACAATAACCCTAAAAAAATATATATCTTCGGGTAACTTAATAGGGACTTTTCAATCAGATTTCAAATGGCCAATAAAAATGCTGGATCTTTGAGCAGGTGTTTCTTTTTACGATATCACGCTTCAATTCACTTAAGTATCTCTCAGACTTGTTGAAAGTGAACTACTCGAGTCCGGGACCATGGGTTTGCAATTAAAAAGACAAAAAAACTGAATCACCAATATGATCATTTGCACCTTTTCCACAAAAAATTTAGTATTTCAATATGTTAAGTTGTTTGCGAGTGCATAAGTTGGCTGGAAGTGTTGTTGGTGTGTGTGTGTATATGACATATACAGATTTATGTGTGTATTTCAAATGCACAAAAAAAAGCACTTACAAAGCTATCAGAATACCTTTGGCATTCTGACAGCTGATTTAATTGCACTTCACTTCAAATGTAAGTCGAGGTTATAGTTGAAGAGACACAATGCTAATTACTGCCTGACATTCAGATTACACGATTTTTGTTGTTTCTGTGCATTGTGAGTGGAAATAAGAGGTCAGCCAGCTTGTTGTTCATGCCACAATTCAATATGACAGAACAGAGAGGCTTGTCAGATATAATTAGCATTGACAGGAAGCTCATATGCAGCACACTATAATGACATGAAATCCTCTTTAGCATGGGAAAGTTAGCTAGCTCGCATCGGTGGTGCTGTGAAATTTATCAACACCTGGCATAAAACCACCATTACACTATACATAACATGTCTCAGTCGTAATTACAAATGTACCTTACTCCCTGGTTCACAAAAAGACATCAATAAAAACGTATGTCTTATAGTGAGGATCGCTGCACCAAGTGACCTATCTCAGCCATGTCTGTTTCATCACTAGCAAAGTAAATACCAATGGTATACCAGTAGTGGTACATACTGACCAGAGTCCGCCCAAAAGCCAACGTGTACTACAACTAATAATTTGTACCATCTCTGGTGGCAAGGGGAATAATAACACATTATTGTGCATAAGTCCCTTCAAAACCATGTTGTTAAATAGATCCGAATGGCCAAACAATATCAATGTAACTTGGTCTTGTGGTCTCAGCCTGCCATCTACTTCTCACTCTTATGGCTTTCTCTGTATTTCTAGGTGCTTTGGTGAGGACACTTGTATCACCATACCAAGCATTGATGCCGTCGTGAGGGTGCTGCAGCCCATTGAGCCCAGGATCACCATCACTGGAGTGGAGAGACTCAGCCGACCTGCCTCTGACTTTGAATCTTTCAGAGGCATTCCTTTGTTCCAGGATCTTCACATCATTAGTACAGTCACCAAGGCTGACACCATTGTATATCGTGCAGGTAAGCACATTATGAGGTAGATATTGCACACAAATTAATATCTTTAGTGAAACTAGAACTAACACAAGTTAATAATAGAGAGGAAACCAGTGAGAAATCTGTATTTTTTATTTATTTATATTGTTGTTGTTTTTTATTTTATTTACTTTCTCCTGTAACACAGGTGAAAAGCAGATTTTACCAACTGAAATATTACAATTGAGGGGGAATATATTGTTAAACCATAACATATAATATTAAATAAATCAGTACTTATCTTACTGATATTGGAGTTGTCTGAAATGTGTGTTTTTTAAAGCACCAAACTCCAGTATTGGTCACTATTCTATTTCTATGGTAATTTTGCACTGATAAATCCCACTTTGAACCATAAAAGCTTTAAACTAAAGCAAAGTTTAAGATGGAGTATGCACCTTCTCAAAGGCAGAAATCTGTCTTTACTAAATACTTTAGCAGGAGTTTTTTCATATTGATAACATGCTCACTCATTCATGAAGTTCCATTACATTCATACATCACTCATACATCACATGCTTTGCAAAGTGCCTCACAAAACTGCAAATAGGCAGCAGAGAGCTAACCTTTGAGCCTTTGTATTTGAACAAGCTGAAAAGTCAAGTAGACAAGTTGCGCATTCGTTGCCAGATTCGACAATCACACAGTATATCATTCACATATCATGAAATTGTGGTACAAGCACCCTCATTTGTCTGTTTCAGGCCATTATTTTACCTTGAAATTGAGGTTATTCTATCCTTTGTTTATTGAGTATGTGTGTTTAGTTTAGAACATCCATCCATCCACTGTCGTAACTGCTTATTCCCTAATGGGGTCGAGGGGGGAACTGGAGCCTATCCCTGTAGTCAATGGGCGAGAGGCAGGGTACACCCTTGATGGTCTGCCAGTCCATCGTAGGGCCACACAGAGACCCACAAGGACAAACAACCACGCACACTCACATTCACTCCTAAGGGCAATTTGGAATGCTCAATCAACCTAACATGCAGGTTTTGGGACTGTGGAGAACCTGGAGAGAACCCACTTAGACACAGGGAGAACATGCAAACTCCACACATAAAGGTCCTGGTTCCCCCAGGGACTAGAAACCAGAAGCCACTTGCTGTGAGGCGATGGTGCTAACCATCCGCTACTATAGAACATTTATTGCTTAATTTCTTTGCATGACTAATTACATTCATTGATTGTTTATTTGTATTTTAGAAATGCAGAGAAGCCACATCCCAATACAAACAATGCAAAACACTGAATAGAATATGTCATCTGTGCCAGATACAATGTGCACACATTAATTGGACACCTGGAGAAGCTGCAGTCTTTTTGGCCAAAGACTTAGGCCCAACGTTTTACACCTAGAATTCAGCATTTATTAAACAAGTGGTGTTTCTTTGTAAAGAGGGCTGCCTAATGGCTACCGCCAGAGGATGTCAATGTAGGCAGCCACTAATGACTGTCCCTACAGGGTGCAATGCATCCCCAGTCATCTAGGACTACAAGCTAAACCACCAATTACAACCCTCTCATGACAATTACCAAGGGTAGTGTCCCATACCAAATTCATAACACCCAGTATGGGAGGAATCCCTAAATATCCAGTTCCCCACTTATCAGTCCTATTAAAGCTCTGATGATAATCTAAACGCTCCCTTTCCCACTCCTGCCATATTGTGAGAATGCCAGTGTTCCACCTACAGGCACATTAACTGAGACACCGGACGAAAGAGCTGGAAATTGAGATGGACATTGTAAACTAACTCTTCATCTTCAGGGTGGCTACACTCATCCCACATATTCAGTGTATCCATGTCTTGTAGGTATCATGGGAGACTGAGAAAGACTTTACATTGGTGAAATCTCCATTCCTTCTTGACTGATCAGGGCTCCCTCTGCATCAAATTCCAATTTACAGCTGCTGCTTTGCCACTGCGTGATCATAATTACGCATTATCATCGCATGTCCGTTGTGTGTCAATGCAGAAAAACAATGCAGAGTCACGAGGATCGTTGCAAAAGTTATCATATCTTTATTGAAAACCCTCCAGTGAATCATATTTATTGTAGTGTAGTCTCCAATGTCAGGGCTACACAAAGTCATCAGACCGAGCATAGAAACATGTCTGTCACGTAACTGCCGTTATGTGACAAACGTTAAGCTTTCAGATCTTTAATTAGGCCTATATTAAAATTTAATTAGGCCTATATTATAATGCAACTCTGTGTATCTGCATGTCATGACCGTTTAATCCAGAGAAAAGCAGGTTTACGGTATCGCTCAGCGGGCTGCGGTGCGCGCTCCCGCGAGCTTAATGAGATTCTCGCAAACATTCACTTTTTCGCACAACACCGGCAAACTCAAGCCGACTCCCGTAACTAGGATACCGTAAACTTCCTGTCTAGCGGGTTGTCAAAATAAAGCTCTTGCAAAATCGTTTCTTATAATAAGAGCAACAATAACAAGTAGGTACATAAGTCTTACTAAAAATGTAACCGAATGAAAATTGCATGGGAAGAAAATATAAAACTGCAAACATAACACAAGTTTTTACATATTTTTTCATAATGTTCTGAAATGTGTTTAATTATTATAACTAAGTGTTTCATAGTCTTGTATATATAAATATATAAAAAAATATATATACATATATATACGGACCAAGCATTTCACACTTAGGCCTTCAGTAGTGCTCTGCCTGAATCAATTCACCCCTCAATAACTATTTTATGGTTATAGAAATCATCTTATGTAGAAATACGGTAGGGATGTCCCGATCCAGCTTTTTGCACTTCCGACCCGATACTTATATGTATTTGCACTTCCAATCCAATACCGACACCGGCCGATACTGATACCTGCCTATCAGAGCATGTATTGCAAATATCGGCGGCCGATCCGATCCAAATATCAGATCGGGACAAGCCTAAAATACAGTATAAAGATCAGGGGTGCACAAATCTTCTACTCCTGCAGCTACAGCTGCGAACCCCCCCCCCCCAAGAAAACAAAAAAACAAAAACATCAATAATATCCTCATAAACTCGAAATATTAGGAAAAAAGCAACATTTTACTCACTAACTTTTCTTGAAAAGTCCGTCTTATAAATGGCCTTGACAGTAAATCTGCCACCAGATCAATTTTCTTCTCCTCCTTCAGCCATTGTGGGGTGTTAAAATAGCTATTACACCAACCCAACTATATTTCAGTTAGTTTGCTAGCTTTGGCAGGTACGCTATCTGACTATCCAATCAGCGGGTGTGAATACGATTACGTTACCTCAAGCCTCACCGTATTGGCCCTGGTGTCACCAACTTAAAATATGATTGGTTAAAGCAACAGTTTAGGCAACATGTATTTTCTATTGGGGGGCCGTAGAATGGATTGTGAAGGCCTCCAGGCAGACATCTTTGACTTTGACCCTGCCTACCAACAAATGATGGCTGAAATGTGATTGGTGAAATGCTTTTAAATGGAAATGCATGTCTGGAAGCAGCACAAAATATTATTAACATCAGTCTGTGATTCAGATATTTTCTTAGGCCAGCAGAGAAGGCCTTGCAGGCCCTGACGGCCCACCACTGATATATATTTATTATGTGGTGACATGTGTATATACATATCATGAATATCTAGCATAAGCATCCACATTTGACTGTTTCTTCCTATAATGCTACCTTTAAATTGATTGATTTGATTGAATACTTTATTGATCTGACAAGGAGAAATTAACTTCCAGTACAGCCTGTACCAAGATCATACAAACAAAACACAGACACACCAGTTCGGGAAGACCGTGGGCAGCACCGTTTTTCTTCAGAACAAAGATACATCAGGAAAGTAGTTGTGGGAAGATGGGGAAAAAGAACCAGTGCCACACCCCCTACAGGGGACGTAACAGTGATTTAAAAAAAAACAAAAAAAAAAAAACACATCAGTACACTTAAGCACAGATAGAGCCAAATCACAACATCAAAAACAAATAGGGAGGGAGAGATGGGGGGGTTGGAGGGAAGAGGAAAGGTAACAGCAAGGAAGTGAATCCAAGGAGTGAATGAAGTCTGTACTTGTGTGTGTGTGTGTAAGTATAAGCAAGCTGGAGGTCCACAATCCACAGGCTAGATGCAATTTGCCTTGTGATGCCCATACTCCTGCTTGGGAGGAGGGAGGGGGTAGGGTGGGCAAAGCATCCATCTGCAGTTTCATCCAGGGCAAAGTTGCAGAGTAGCAGCTGCAAAGCCACTCTCGGTAGGCTAGATGAGATAAGAGAGCTAGCTTTATTCCAGACAGAGGGTATTTTGTCTGCCTTAAGTCCTCAGGTCTCTCAATGGCGATTCCAAATCAGCCGAATTTTGTTAGTTTTCCTCCATCCAGACCACCAACTTCTCCAAGGTGTTACCCAGCACTTTCATGCTGCCAGGCATCGTCCCCATTTTGCTCCTATGAGCCTCCTGACTGCTCCACTGAGTCTCAAGTTTGCTCACCAGAACATCGTGTTTGCGAGTCAACTCGCACAAAGTTTGAGTCAGAGTGTTGATGATCAGAAAACTGTCAACAGTTGACGTCAGCCTCCGAATTTCTCGAAAAACTAGGCATCTACCAACTCAAACCAGCAGGAACCCGGTTATCATGATCCAAATAGGTATAGGTCCTCAACGTCCTCCACAGAGAGAACTGAAAGGCATAAAACCTTCCACTTCTTCCAGGCATCCAGTTTAACCCGCAGGGTGAGTCCCAGCTGGACAAGTTGCAGCCCCTGCAGCTTGTCTTTGGGTAGAAAAGATGCTGTCAATTACATTGAGAGACCACCCAACCAAATCCATGGTTGATGTTAGGCTTTAGGAAGTGAAAATGCAGAAAGAGGCTCAGAGATATGACAGGACAAAGATAGCAAGCAGGCAAAAAAGTAAAGGGGAGGGAGCAGAGAGAATCATATCTGCATTTGAGAGCTGGAAGGAGAAGATGTTAGTCATTCTATTCCTTAATCTATTATGTGTATTTAGTTTACAGAATATCTAACTTAAAATGTTAGCATTACTAATACATATATACAAATCAAACGTATTTTGAAAATGCAGAGAAACCACAACACAATACATAAAATGCAAAACACCTGTATATTATATCTGAACTCCAGTTATACCTGTCATGCTGTAGCTGGATACTCTTAAGCAGTCCACAACTTTAGACAGAAGCTCAGTCAAAAAAGTGATTTATTCCTTTTTTGGAAGAATTGTGGAGGCGATGTCTGGAGCAGCCGCTTTGGTGATAGAATCCTTGGGAGGGTACTTGAAGGAGGAAACAGAGAGGAGCAAAATGGAGGCAGGAAGGCTGGAAGACATCCAAAGTTCTGGTTAAACAAGAAAAAAAGATTTACTAGGTTTGTTATCCACAAAAAGTCAGAAGAGTTCTGTGATTGACCTATACCAAACTAAGTGAGGAAATCATCTGACAACTGCCATGTGGAACTGCTCCTTCTTATGGCTGCTCCTGATTAGTAAGATTGGCACCAGCTGGTTCCATTTCAGATCTGGCCACCTAGAGGAGGGTAGGGGGAAAAAAGAGAAAAATACTATACAGACCTAACAATAGCATGTTGAATTGATAAAGTGGGGCGGCACAGTGGTGTGGTGGTTAGCACTGTCGCCTCCCAGCAAGAGGGTTCTGGGTTCGAATCCCGGGGGAACCAGG